AATGAAAAGGACGTCATTGTGTTATCAAAAGAGTCATCACGTGACCATAAATTCGATCTGTAGTTCAACAGCCAGACCTTTGATCAAAATATCAATAGCCCTATGCTATAGCTAGAAATTGTCTGTTGGACATTCTCATCAATATTGGCTACATTTAGAAAAAATCACTAAAAAGAACTTCCCTCCGTTGTTCATCGCGTTATCGACCCTATAAATGCTGCAGTATTTAAACGATAAGTAGTGCAAGTAGTAAACGATAAGTTAAGTAGTTTTTACATCAGTTATAGAAGCCATCGACATGTATTATTAAATAAGGCAACATTTACTCTTATTCCTGCTCGCAATTGTGAGAAAATAACAACTGGCGAGAATGTGTCATCGCGCTATTGCGGACAAACCGCATTCTACTCATTCGCCCTCAAAATATCTGGTTATCGAGGATTTTTTCTAAATATCTCCTGTCAGCGTTTTCGATATAACTTTGGCAAGGTGGGGAAGTTTTATGGAGCAACTTTTCTGAGTAATTTTTTTTTATTAGGAGTAAATTTTTTAAAATGAACGGAATAATTGTTTCAAACAAGGTGGGAGAATTCTCCCACCTAATCGAAATTGCTGCCTCCTGTTATTGTCGATGGATTTTATCTTTGCCATAATTTTGAATCATATCGGTATTGTTCAGTTTAGGGGGCTGCTTCACAGGATCTTACCAGCAAATGTATTCATCAATCAATAATGTCGAAAAACAAGTATGACTCAGCGATATACATTTGTTTCCACAGTTTCTCGTTACAAAAACTTGAAATAACAAATCTTAAAAACAAATGCACGATGTTATTGCTACACACGGAAACAATCTCAAGGAAAGATAATCTCAAGATTTCGAAGAAACTTTGATCAACTACACTTGTTGAAAACAGGGTATTTTAATATTCGTCTTGAATTGGAAAAAATATAATGAATCGCAGTTGATTAACCCAAGTTCATCAGCAACGCGATGACGCTTCCACTACGGTCACACTACAGCCTTAATCACGATTAAAATTAATCATGATTAAAGTTAATTATGATTAACGATTTTTTAGTGTGGCTGCATCCTTTTATAATCATGATTAACACTATTTTAATCACGGTTAAATAAACAATGTGACTGCGCTGATCATGATTTAAGGTCTGATCGTGATTAAGAAAAGCAAATAAATACGGTGAGTGCTCTATTTCGCTGACTTTCTATTTCACGCGCGATTTTGTCCTCTTTCAATATGTTTACCAATGCAGTTGTTTCGTTTCCTCTTCCCACTATTTTCGTTCCCTTCGCTTTGTGTGCTTGATGTGATTTTTGATCAAAGAAATTATCTGTAAAACACGAAAGTGAACAACTACTCTTTACTTAAAAAACTCTTGTTTATAAATAAAGATATACGCCTAAGACAGACGAGATAGAGCGCAACTGAGGAGTGTATTTATTCACTGACTGCACGCTGAGAAACTTTCAATAACCATTTTGAACCCCTGAATGGAAAGAATGATGGAAAAGAAGACAATGAGCAAATAAATAGCCACGACTAGTTTCTCAATAATTAAAATTTTCAATTCTCAATTAAGAACTTCAATAAACTGAATAAACAAGAAAGGAATAATTAATTGCTAGTCTCACTTTATTGACTTTAGAACCAATATCCAATCTCCTACTATTTACGCCATTTTATCTTTCAATCTGATAAGTATGCATACATTTCATGGCGATTAACACTAATCGTGTTTGCGCTGTTCATCTTTCAATCATGATTAAGGTTTATTATTTATTTTGTTCTTTTTTTATTACTCTTTTTGTGTTGTTTGGCTTGAGTCATTTATTACAGGTCAGTGACCTTTGATGACTTTCTCACTTTTCGTGAATAAACAGTCTTAGATCACAATCATACTACGAATTAATCACGATTAAGCTAATCGTGATTAAGGCTATAGTGTGATCGTAGTGTTTTTCGATGAAAATACAAGAAAGGGACGGTGAAATATAGCTACTAGTACTATAAACATGTCGCATTATTTGTAGTACTCTCTAGTGCAAACATAACAAAATATGAGTTTTTGAATACTATACGAGAACGCACACGTTTTATTTTGAACACAGAGGCTGTACTATTCCAGTTTGCGTGAAAAAAATTAGATGGTACAATCACTTAACCAATCGCTGACTCGTTCTAACAGAAAATCATCATAATTTGACGAGAAATGTATCCAATCGACAGGAGCTGGTATTATGTGTCGAAGACTGCCATCTTTGATTTCTTGATAATCGAAAACGAAATTATCACAGTCTTACACAGTATCACGGTCAATGTGTTAAAGAAAACTAATTTAAGAGTCATTCACGCTCTTATGATGCATTTTATGCTAAGACTAAAAAACAAAGCAGCACACTTCGATGCAAATGGAGTAGTGTTCGGACTTTATTTTTCCATTCATCTCTTTTATTTTTTTCTTCTGTTATTTTGCTGTTTAACAAAAAATACGTTCGTAGTAAACTGTAGGTGAGTAGGATTTGTATACAAATTATCGAAATCATAACAGCAATTTTCAGAATTATTGTTAAAGAAATTGTTTACGTTCAAGATTTATAGATGGTAAAAGCATCCAAAAAGTCTTACAGATTCTGAAGGTGGAACTTCATGCTGCAAGCTGATATACACAATACAATACAATACTCTGCTTTTCAAGGGCACTGCAATTTCTGAGTAGGATTCTATAAAAAGATTAGAAAAGAATAGGGTTATCAGAAACAAAATTGTTCGTAGACTTACCTATTCATACAAATTTCAATAAATTAATTGTACAACTATTGAAGATGTCATATCTGCGGTTATTTTTTAGTATGTATTCCAATTATCGTGTAATAAATCCTAGAAAAATCATATCACCGGCCTTCGAAATTTTCAAATGCGGTTAGAGTCTGGGGGAGGCCGGTGATATGGACCATATTTCACACAACTTAGCCGTTCATTTTATGCAATAATTAGACATAATAATGTTCTTTGGGAAGATTGAAAAGGCGTCCTCAGAGGTACTTTCATACTACACTGTCGCGAAATATTACGGTAAAAATTCGATGTTATGTTTTGACAGTCTCAGGCCAGCCAATCCTACCGTAGGATCGTACAAGATTCTTACAAGATCTTACGAAACTCTGTTGTTACCAAGAAAAATTAAAATCCTTATATCTCTATGTCAAATCTCATGCTGACTCAAGGAAAGTTTCGGGAAACGCTCAGGACAGCTCATAAATCATAATCGAAGACGAAAAAGTGAATTTCAGCTGGGCATTGGTTTAAGGTTTCCAGAAACCTCCTGAAAAGCCTTAAAGCCTCAGTGTTCTGCTGGAACACTTTTTCGACTTGATCAACAATATATGACGCTTTTTAAGTCTTTCCTGAAGATTTCCTTGAGTGAGCATGAGATTTGATCGAGATATAAGGGTTTTAATTTTTGCTGGTAACAGGCGGAAACCGGTTTTTCACAAAAATGCCTCTGGCGAAGTTATTTTTCATTTCCACACAAAAACAAATGTTGCCATTGTGCTCAGCGTAGTCGATTATCTATATTCCATGGTATTTAGAGATTCCCAGAGATGTCTGCTCGGAAATAGACACACGCTCGGAGAAAGCGAGCCCTGTCCGAACGACGATAGCTGGAGAGCTGCGACTTATTAATTTTGCAGAGTAACGTCCGGATTACTTACGCATGCAAAAAAAATTACTAACTTTGTATGCTAGTTTTCTGAGAACGGAGCTGGTTTTCTAAAGATTCTCTGGAAAACAGGATTTTCAGGAGATTTTGAAACAAGTTTTTGCTTACAAAAACATGTCTTAGGATCTTAGCAATACGATGGTGAAAATCGCAGGTAGCTATCTATCAGTGTGATTGAGTTATTCCAAAAGTAACCGATGGCCTTGTATTTTGGGACGGATAGTAAATTTTTTTACCCCAGCGACATGTAAAGCGGTGTCGCTAGCATATCAAGTTACAATTGTGGAGCGCGATTTGAAAGCTACTTGCTCGTCGAACTAGCTACTCATTCAGAGCGCATTTTTAAGGTGATTTCGAGCAGAAAATTTATTCTTTACGTTGTATAATAATGATGCACTCTCCCATTTTCTTTCATTCTTCAAGTCCAAGCGTAACGAGGTAACTTTTTAGTTTTTTTCGCTTCATTTATATCCAACACTGTTTCGGTACATACCATACCACTTAGTCACGTGGATATTTCTGTTTTTTTACTTCTCGTTCACATTAGTCTGAATAAAACAATTAGCGAATATTAGTATAATATAGACTATCATTTACTCCTCGGATAATGAGATTTGACAAAAATTGGTAACACTAAGTGATTCATAGTTTAAAGCCTGTCTAAAAATAAGCAGTATCAAGAAAATATTGTTGTGTTAACGTATCTTCTTCAATCTTTACTTATACCGACTTAAGTACTGTATTTAATGACTATTTGATTCAATCAAACTTTTGTATTCGTTATTCGTATATCATACATGAGGATGAGCAAACATATTGAGCTCGATTCATTCTGTAGAGGTTTGTTCTGCAATTTTGCGTTGTAATAAGAATTTTAACATTGAAACTGACAGATTCAGAACTTGTAAGAAAATTTCTTGAATATAGATGTTTTGGAGAAAATATCAGGCAAATCATTAAAGAGAATCTAGTAGCGACAGATATGCAGGTGTCGTGCGAAACTAAGTCTAGAAATAAAAAGTAAGCTTTTTTTTCAAAAACTAAATTATTTGGGTTTTTTTTTTATTCAGAGAGTTGAAGAGACATTTCCACTTTCGATTTATGCATTTGAATTCGGTCTAACCAAGTTGGTATTACTATTTACGAGAGACAATGTATACTATATGTTATAATGATTCTCTTTTACTGAATTGACGAGAACAGTGTTGTGTAACACTTGAACTTATTTTATATTTTTTCAGAGCTAATTAGCGAAAATGACAACGCAGGATTCATATCTTTCTCATGGAATAGGATCTATAAGGCGGACTGCCAAGCGAGACAAGGTATGTCTTACTAATAATCGATGTTTTAGCGATTATAAGAGTTTATTTATAATTTCAGCTATACAGAGAAGTAAATGCAATGTCTTATGGAACGATCGAATTTCCAGATAACCGCTCGAAAAAAGCAGAGGTATTAATAATCGTCACCAATGTAATGCATCATATATATACTGATTTTATTTCTAGTTTATTCGTGTTTCTCCAGATGCTTCGATTAATCATGTCAAAGAGTTATTATTTAATGGCTGGAGTGATTCACGCCCCAGCCTCGTTATTTCTATTTCGGGTGGAGCTAAAGAATATATAATGCAGCCAAAACTAGCTAAAGCATTTAGACAAGGCTTATTGAAGGTAGCTAGTTCAACAGGTATGTAGTTTTTATAATTAAAACTCACATCATTTAGATTTTTACTAAGTTTTGTTTTAGGCGCATGGATTGTAACTGGCGGCTCAAACACAGGCATCATGAAAGTAATTGGTGAGATAGTGCAGTTGAAACCAGTGAGTCAACTGAGATCAAAACCAATCAAATTAATTGGAATTGCAACATGGGGATGTGTTACAGGCGTCGATCGTTTAGATGTACATGGTGTATGTAACAAAGCTTTTCACTTCAACCGTCTGTTATCGTACCGGTTTTGTTGTTTAGGAGACTGTTCGATATCCGAAGTATCGTGGGCAAAAAAAAGGAGAAGCTCCGTTAGAACCGAATCACACAAATTTCATATTTGTTGACGATGGGGGGACTAAGGGTTTTGGTGGTGAAATAGAATTTCGTTCAAAATTAGAACAATCGATCAGCGGCATGGGTGTTAAATCATCAAGAGAAGTTCAACAACTACCATCATATGAAATGAGATCCAACAGCCAGACACAAGATGCGTCAAGTAAGTTAGACAAGAACCTTACATGATAGTTATTCAGTTACCTTCTTTGTTTAGTTCCAGTGCCCGTTGTCTTACTCGTTATTGAAGGTCAGTTATAGCTCTGTTTGTGCAGATGTTAACGAAGTAAAATTGTGTATGTGATTGAAATTAGCTGTGCTGGGATTATAAGTCATATAGAAGAATTTCACTTTTAAAGACTTCGTTTTTGAGATCTGATATTTACTGGATATGTTGATTGTGTTGAAGCAACGTACATTTTAAATTTAATTCTGCAAATCTATACAGTTGCAAAGATATTTCGTCGTTTCAATAACCTTCCGTATGAACTTTCCTAAGCAGAATGATAGTTCGCCGAGCTCAGTAATCATACACATATATTTATGATTTACTAACGATTACTAGTTAAATCGGTAAGAATTTTCAGATTTTATCTTCAATCATCCTTAATTTATGCGATTTTATTTTGAGTTGGATGATTATAACTTTTTAGTAACCAAGACGTAAAACAAAACATTTAGACCAAAGGAAAGGACTTGTTTTCTTTTCAACTTCTTCAAACTGATAACGTCAATGGCACAGATTAAGTTAACAAACTTAAACTTTGACCAATATCAATCTTTTATGCAGAACAAGGAGAAGAGCGGATAAGGTCGTTTCCTGGCCCAACAATTTTTCGGGATTTCTGCATTGGAAAAATGTCAGTGCATGCCTAGGAACATTTCCTGATACTTAGTTTCGCGAAATCTCTCGGTCATGTTTTTGAGGCCTGAGGTTTCCTACAGGGATTTTGGAAAACTTTTTATTTTTGATTATCACATTATTATGTCATCCAGTAATATAGAGTCAGCGATGCTGATCACGAATATTATATTTAAACTTGTCAAAAGTTGCTCAGAGGCCGAGAAAAAGCATTTCATTCTCGCAGACGTGCTGGATGAAAAGCGAACTTTTCAAGCGCTATATTTCACAATCAGCTCGGAAACTAAGTCAAAAGCAGTAGACAATATACGGAAAAGTATGCTCTATCTATTCATGGAAGAATAAAAAATTTTACATTATATTTGATGCCTGAAACTTTCAAAATACTTAAAAACCTCAAAAATCTGGTTTCTGACGCTCCACGTAGGACCTGATGGGAATATTGCCGCAACTCCAGACTTTGTCAAAAAACACAATTTTTGAAGCTCTTTCTGATGGCTAAATCAAAAGTTCAAAAAGAAGTGTACAAGGGGTCTTCAGAAAACCTTCTATAGATCCTCCAGGATTTTAAAATAAATTCCCATCGTGATTAGTATATTTAATTACCTATTTACACATGCGTTTAGCGAACTTAAGGGTTCAGGTCTTGTCATGAAAAATAACTCAAGCCTCCTTGCTGAATGAAATGCTTTTTCTCGGCCTCTGAGCAAGTTTTAACAAGTTTAAATATAATATTCGTGATCAGCATCGCTGACTCTATATTACTGGATGACATAATAATGTGATAATCAAAAATAAAAAGTTTTCCGAAATCCCTGTAAGAAACCTCAGGCCTCAAAAACATGACCGAGAGATTTCGCGAAACTAAGTATCAGGAAATGTTCCTAGGCATGCACTGACATTTTTCCAATGCAGAAATCCCGAAAAATTGTTGGGCCAGGAAACGACCTTATCCGCCCTCCTTCTCTATGGAAAGAATTAAAAAATATCGAAACCGAACTGTTTAAAAGTCATATATTGAGTGCACATTGAAGTTGAAATCATTCTCTTGGAGCATTCTAATATGTATACACCTGTTGTTGGTTATTGTCGCAAACGATCTTGTCTGCCATTCTAATATACTGTTGATTTCAATACAATGTTTTCATGATTAAGGAGGTCCACACACAATCAAGACAATTTATGAAGCCGTTGTTCAGAATAATATACCGGCCATCCTCTTCGAAGTATGAATAAAATAAGATTTGTTTTTGCGTAACAGCTCTGACGAATAATAGCGTTTCTTTCTGTAGGGTACCGGACGTTGTTGTGATTGTTTTGCGAAAGTCTATCACAAATATTTGATTTATAAAGACCAATTGACACCACCTAAAGACGCGAAACCAAAGTTAATACGTCGTTATGCATCACGAAATCTCTAAATTAGGATTGTTCCTTTCAATTTAGAGAGAATAGTACACCGATATCCGAAGAAGAAGTAAAAGAAATTCTTCGTGCGGAAGTCGCGGATTTCTTAATAAAATTTAAAGGACACAATACAGATTCAACAGATTACTTTCAAATGATTTACGAGTGTGTTCATAAAAAATTTAAGTTTTTAACAATAATTGGATTGAATGTTAACTACGATAGCGAACCCGATATCGATCTGGTTATACTTAATGCATTATTAACAGGTAAAGATACCAGCATCATATTCCACAGTAAAACGATCCTTTCTTGTTCTTTTTTTTATAGCGTCGGACTATTTTGAATCAGACGAGGATAAAACATACAACTATAGCCAGCATAAACTCGAACAGTTGCAATTAGCGCTTGATTGGGATCGAGTGGATATCGCCAAAAGTTATATCATGACCAATGAACAAGATTGGGCGGTAAGTTGAATGTACAAACTCTATAGTGAATTGTATACTCTTTGTTTTAGAAACTTCATTTAAACAATTTATTTTTAACGTCGTTAGACCGAAATCAAATTAAATTTACAGAATTATTTCTTGAGCATGATTTTTCACTAACAAATTTATTTCAAAATTGTGATACTTTAGTATCACTCTATAGCGCATTGGTAAATATGATTTTGTTTTCAATAGATTAATCGATTGTTTCCTAGATCATTTCATTTTAGGATACATTGCCACACAGTGCTAGGTATTATCGTTTATTGGATGTGAGTTTAGATGACGACGATGACGATGGAGATATTGGACCCAATGATAAATTACATTACATCTATAAACGATATGTAAAACCGTTGATCGGCGACTTTTTTGAAATTGATGCTGTATTAGGAGTAGAAATAATGAATGATGAGAGTAATTGTTGTACCGGGTGCATTGCGAAAATAAAAGAAAAAAGAAAAAAACGACATCATGGTAAGTGACAAGGTATCATGCATAGCAGCGGGAATAATTTTACTATTGTCAGTATAAGATGTTGACAAGTGTCAGTTTCAATAACCCAATATCTTATCTTCAGGTGACAAACTTCTGACTTGAATACACAAACCGTAGTTAGTCTACAACTATAGCTGTAACCAATGGCTAATCTAAGTCAAAATTTTTTCCACCCAGTTACTTCGGTGCTAGGTCAAGTCTTTTCGTCGCAGACAATACGCCCTAGACGGTTTGTCGCCAATGTTTTTGTTGCAGACCTTTTTGTAGCAGGAATGATTCGTCGCAACAAGTGAAAAGATTTTTCTCCTTTGTTAAGTAAAACTACAAGAAATAAGTACGACAACCTTCACACAATAAACTTACCTTTGCAATCACGATTCTAACATTGAAAAATAAGTTACCTTCTCTAGATGGTCAATCTCAGTGTGTAAAGAGTTAGGTGTGTTAAAAAAATTTCTTATTTTCAATTTTTCTCTCGAACTACTGCATCAAATGAAAAAATAATTTCAGAATCATGATCACCATCTTCGAAAGTATATATGCTGTAATTTCCAGCAAAAATGGATGAGAAAAAAAGACTCATCGAGATCTACCTCTGGCCAAAATATCAGCTCAAAAGTACTCCGATAGTTAGGGACCTTCCCTCGTAATAACTTGCACAAGGTTATAATGTATATTAACCACGCTGAAATTCAAACGCAGTGCCTTTAAAAAGCTAGTCAAATAGCATAATTATCAAGCCACGTTGTTCAGATGCCATATTCACAGGATCTTTTTTCGTATTTATTGCATTACAATGCGTTAGCCATATCGTAATGCCTTGTAATGTGTTAGCTTTCCTGTTGTGTTATAATGCGATAAATTTAGAAAAAATAAAACGCTAAATGAATGTACTATCCACCTGGATCTCAGATCAAATTTTTTGAAATTCCTTCAGAATAAATGAAAAGTAGAATAAGATATACTGGATGATTCAGTGTCGGTTTATGACTTAAACTGCTAAAAATTCTTTTATTAATAACCATTTTGCTTATCTCTAAGCAAAATTTTAACTGGTCTCGATTTATTTCATGTCATTTGTCTAATATATATCGTCTAGGAGCTAATTCACTCTATCAATAGATATCTAGCATTTAGTGCTTTTTCCTTATCTCACATACGACAACATATACACTACAGTGACACTACGCAAATAATCATGATTATCTTTAATCGTGTACGGTAAAAAAAAAGCGTCCAAAAAAGCGCCCACTAGAAAACGTCCACGAAAAGTATACTAAAAAAAGCGTTAACAAAAATGAGTCCACAAAAATTCGTTCAAGCATAGTATTTAAGTGCATACTACATAGATGACTCGTTTCATTGCACTAGCTTATCTCAGAAACGACTGATTTCCTGTGGTAGTGAATCGGTCCGGCATATCAGGCGTGCTTCCAAAGTATAGTGCGTTCAAAATTGAGTAAAATATTATTTGGAAATCTTTTCAAATTTTGTTATTACATACGAAAAAATTCCAGAAAAAAACCGTCTAGCAAAAAACCGCCCACTAAAAAGTGTCAACTTTTGAACGCTTTTTTCAAACCGTGTGATTAAAAGATAATCGCGATTAAACATTTTCTGGTGTGACCGCAATTTTTTGGGATCATGATTAAGGATATTTAATTAAGATGAATAAATTTGTGTGTAACCGCATTAATCACGATTAAAAAGATAATCGTGATTTAACTCACGATAGCCATAACTATAAATACCCACGAGGGAACCTTTCCAGGTGTCCGACCGCTTTTGTAACGAAATGCGGTAGTTTAGAGGTAATCGACCATGTTGATTCTGAATATGATAGCCGTTTTTCCCCATAGGTCTTTCCTAACCGGTTTCTGGAAAATCAGTTTTCCAGAAACCTCGAAAAATCCTCAAGAGTTTTTCTCAATAAGTCACAACTGTAGCCCACGAAATTCTGCTTAAAATGAGACATCTCCCAGCTCTACATGACTTTTCTTTGCAAAGTTATAGAATTTACAAGGAAAGCCCTAAATGTTTATTGTTACCTCAGAGGTACAGAAAGAAGAAGGAACGATGGATTTAGGGCTTTTCTTGTGAATTCTATAACTTTGCAACGAAAGGTCATGTAGAGCTGGGAGATGTCTCATTTTAAGCAGAATTTCGCGGGCTACAGTTGTGTCTTATTGAGAAA